AGTTTCCGTGTATATTCACTTTGCTCTATATCCCAAAGTATACACAACAGAAGAAGTGGACAAGTAGTGGAGGAGAATCCTAGGAAGTCCAATAAAACCATCCTTGAGAGTGACAAGAGTGAGTGTGTTTGGCATGGAGAAAAATGAAGATACTCAAGGAAAATTGAAATAGTTTCACATGTTCTTACCAGCGAGGCAGGTGACTGGGGTTCTTGACCCTTCTTGCACCCTTGTCATTGCCTCACCTTCTGATCTCACAGTCCCCATCTAACTCCCTTGTGACACTAGTAAAAAAGCCTTTAGAAGAACATAGCAGATGTAGGCTATTGTTTGACAGACAAAAGGGCAGGGGAGAGAATGGCGGGCAGCACCTATTGTTCTGGAGACCTGGACTGCAAGAAGGCAGGGGAAGGCAAAGGTGATGGCAGCAGAGCCAGAAGTCGTTAGGTTAGCCTCTGGGTATGTCCAAGGAAATATTCTAGGCCGTTGGGTGCGAAGGTGATTTGGGGGAGAAGCACAAGAAAATCTCTTGTAGGTAAGATAATTTCTGGTGGAAAGAGAGAAAAGGAGAACCAGATGTAATTACAGGGCAGAGGGGGCAGAGACAGGAAGAGCAGTCAGGGGAGTGGGAGAGAGCCTTAACAAAGGAGTGAATGACAAGTGCAAAGGGTGGGATTGCTTGGCTAGGGAGGACGACCTCTTTGGGCAGAGACAGAAAGGATGGACGAGTAGTTTATACTCACAGTCTTCCAGGCTGTAGCCGTAGTAGCCATCCATTCCCGCGGCTTTCAGCACATGGGCCAGCTCACACTTGGAGAAGATTTTGGCCTCATAAGCTGCAAAGAAGCAGCTGAGGAGGGAGAGGATCAAAATGGACCTCATTTCTGTAGCTGGTGGAATCCAAGACTGCTGTGTCCAGGACGCTGACGTCTCTTATACCCTCCAGGCACAAAGGTGTCTCTAAGTGTGCAGTCGTGCTGGCATCTATGCCAGGAAGGACTTGACTGCCCAAGACAAATTCTCCAAACTGCTCAGTCAGTGTGAACTTCAGGGAAGGGAATGTAACCGAGAATGGTACCAGGAATAAAGTCTTGGTGTGAAGNCCTTTCTATATCATGTAGCAAGTCTCGCTCAAAACCCAGCCCTTAAACATGTGACTTGAGACAGTTTAACTTGAGTAACATTTATTTTGGAGGCAGAGATGGGGGAGGATTCAGAGCTTCCAATAATCTTGAGGAATTACTCTGCCTTCTGGGCCATCTTTTCTAGGAGCCATATTCAAGGATAGTCTCACAGCTTACAGCTGGCCAGGTATGTGGACAAATCCTTGCCTTTGCAGTGTTTTACCCAGGCCACCCTAAGGATAGAGAAATAAAGTATAGATCAGATGCAGGGGCAGGAGTTTGTAAGGGACTCACTCAGCTGAGAGGGAATGTAGGATCTGCAAGCTGGAGTCAGTGTATGCTGTAGGAGAGTCCCAGACAGGAAGGGCTTGCCCATCTAAAACACATCTGGATGGGGGCTGCAGTGATGTCTGGGGTGAAGGTGTCACAATATTATTCTGCCTCACTTCACATCAGGAGGACAGTCTCCACTCCTTACAAAACTCAGGGAAAATCCTACAGCATAGATGCTACTTATATTAGCATCCCAGATACTGCCTGGGCCTATCCCTGCCAGAGTGGCTGGTCTCTGCCCTTCATGTTCTCCTTACCAGGCAGACATCCCATTAGGATCTTTCACAACCCTCTTGGCACAGGAGATGTCATCACTGATGTTATCATCCATAAATTCTGAAAGGAAAAGCAAATGAGTGTGGAGAGAAAAATCCCTTTTCATGCTTTAATAACCAGTCCTTTTTTGAGGGGAATTCCTAGAGGAAATGGAGCCTTGAGGTTCAGAAACTTTTCATCTCTGGAGCCCTTCTGTGTGTTTACCTTTCATCCTGCATTGGTTTTCTTGCCTTTTGTTAGACTCTGTCTCTGAGCATTGTTCCTTCCAGTGGGCATCCAGGACCCGATGGACCAGGGACAGCCTTTGTTTTTAGGAAACTGCTTAGTGCGTGCAGAGTATTGTGTGTGGGTGTGTGGAATAGTGATGCAGTGGTGTGTGTACTAGAAACACGACAACACATCTTCAGGGATGGGAACCTAGGAAGGTGAGGCTTAGTTAGGGGTCAGTGTGTCTTTCTTCCTCCATTTTGGCAGGAGGATCTCTGTGGAACCCTGTTTTAGTGTTAGGACTATTTAGGGTCCCTTTATTCCCTGCACTCAGCTTCCCAGCACAGGCTGAGTGTTGGTGTTAGGGAATAGTGTATTCAGTTTTGCACCTATTGAACCACCCCCACCTCGCCCAGTCCTCGGAGGAGATAGAGTCCTTACTGCTGCATAACGTGTTGCAGGCATTTGCTGAGGAATGCTTGCTGTCTTTGCACCACCACTTGTT